TGGAGGTTCCCCCATGGTCTCCTCCCCCAACCTCCAGCCCCCTCTCCCCCGCCCCCTACTTACCAGCACAGAGTCCGGGTCCAGCTCCCTGTGACAGCAAGAGGGGACTGCCTGAATCACTGAAGCTCTCTGAATCTTTTCCGAATTGATTCGGAGAGCTTTGAATGGATTCAGACCTTTTTGTTGGTTTCCCTTTTTATTGGATTCAGAGATTCAGCCGCTGATTTGGGCTGAATCTCCTCTGAATTGAATCAGCACCCAAAGCTTTACACAGCCCTACTAAGCACCATAGCAGGAGCAACAGCAGAGGTGGGGGGCAGTGGCAGCCAGGCAAGAGCCAGTGTGGCACATGCTAACCCTATGGGGGCCACCAGTTGGACACTTGCTGTTGAGTGTTGACAGTAAAGAGACCTAAGCCAGTTACAGGGATCATCTCAGCAGGTCAGGGTACCATGGAAAATGGTACTTGTTGGCCAGTTCAGGGTGTCTCAATGACTTTCACACCTTCAATAAAGAAGAATTAACCCTAAACTTGCATTTAAATACTTTGTTAATGTTTAAAATCAATGTAATCACCATGCCAGGAAAAGGACAATAGGGCATCAACACAATCACTCAGCAAAACGGGAAAGAAAAGGACTAAATGTAGACAGAAAGTGAAATTGTGCTCTGTTGTAGGACATTACAGGCTCAGAACTGCAATCAGTACTTTGGTAATTAGCACAATGCCATTTTAAGGAAATCCTATGCTATATATGTGTAGCAGGCTTACCTTTCAGAGCTTGGGTTGAATCCCAGGCTTGAGATCCTGCTGTTTTGATTGGTGGAGCCCATCCACCAATCAGGAGGCAGCAAGAGAAATAACATCACACCCCTTTTCTGAGGGGAGGGGGAAAGGAGCTCTTCCGGACCTGATTGAAGACTGCAAACTGTCAGGTCCGGAAGACTTCAGGGGCGGAGCCCTGGACAGTATAAAAGGAGCTGTGTGTCCAGCAGGAGGGAAGATGCGTCAAGGACTGGTCAGGCCACAGCTGGAGTACTGTGTCTAGTTCTGGGCGCTGCACTTTAAGAGGGATGTGGACAGCATTGAGAGGGTCCAGAGGAGGGCCACCCGCATGATCAAGGGAGAGCAGGGTAGGTCCTATGAGGAAAGGTTGCGGGACCTGAACCTGTTCAGCCTTCAAAAGAGAAGGCTGAGGGGGGATCTTGTGGCCTGTTATAAACTGGTTAGGGGGGATCAGCAGGCGCTGGGGGAGTCCCTGTTCCCCCGAGCGCCGCAAGGAGTGACCAGGAACAATGGTCACAAGCTGGCGGAGGGAAGGTTTAAGTTGGACATCAGGAGGCGCTACTTCACGGTCAGGGCAGCTAGGGTCTGGAACCAGCTTCCAAGTGAGGTGGTGCAGGCTCCCACCCTGGGGGTTTTTAAGAGGAGGTTGGATGAACACCTTACTGGGGTCATTTGACCCCAGTGCTCTTCCTGCCATGGCAGGGGGTCGGACTAGATGATCTGCTCAGGTCCCTTCCGACCCTAGAAACTATGAAACTATGACTAAAAAAGAAAAAAGAGTGGGGTTAAGAAGAGCTGAGGGAAGCTGCTCAGCAGGGCAAAGCAGTAGCCCAGGAAGAGCCCCTGAAGACTTCTATCAGTGGGGAGCGGGGGACGGCTCCAGTGGTTAAGTTCCTGGTGCGCAGCACGGTGCATGGTGTTCAAACCCTGGGAGCTGCATGAAGTGGCTCGGGTCTGCAACCTCTGGTGTGCGGCCAGAGACACGGTGCACAGGCCGGTGCACAGAGCAGACTCTTTGGAGCCCCTGGGGCAGCTCAGGTCCTCAACCCCAAGAACAAGGCTGGGAGCTTGGTGCAGGAGGCGCTGCACGGAGGGTGAGAGACCCTGGGAGCCACTTGAGGTGGCTTGGGTCTATAGCAGCTGACATGGGGCAGCAGCTCAGTGCAGATGATGCAGCCCAGAGGGTCCAGGAACAGATCAAGCCTCAGTGCTGCCCGAGGCTGTCCATACCTCCAACCCCTAGCATAAGGCACAACGGTGCCTGTGGCCGTAAGTCAGGATGGCAGCAGCAGAGTCAGGCAGCAGGAAATCCCAGCAGGGACAGAGCTTGACCTGGAGAACAGGAGGCAACCCTCCGGGACTGCGGAGTAGTAGTAAGTTACCCTGGAGAGAGGGTCCCCACAGGGGAGCCCCCACCCAAACTGGGTGTGGTATATCTGCCTGCGTGCGTGCGTGCATGCGTGTATATATATATATATATATATA